GTTGGAAACTAAAACGATAAAGAAAGCTGAAAGCATCTAACACACTCAGAACACGTAACAATACTTTTTTAAAGTAGTTAAGAAGGACCTTCATCAAACTGTTCACCAATAAGATACGCCTCAGCTCGATCACACAAAACATCCAAATCATTAGGGTCGTCATTTTCCAATACTTCAGTACACATCGTTATTGCTTCTCCAATATGACCAGCCTTCAAAAAGTAATAATTAGTATCCGTATATGAGAATAAGAAGGCAAAGGAGCTCAAGAGGATCACAAGTTTAAAACGTTCAAGGCACATTTATCACCGTAAAAAGAAAATAAATGAGATTTACAGGTATTAAAAAATGCTACCTAAATTAAGTTATTTAAAAGCCAAACAACCAAAAAGCGTTCTGAGAAGCACAAAAACCCATCTAAAAAAGGGAAGTACCTCTTAAAAAACCTGTAAATTTAAAATCTTCCTGTAAACTAAAAGTCCAATAATTTATTTTTCAGTGTCAAAAAACTCTTTAAAAAACCTCTAAATGCGAAATATTCCTGTAAACTAAAAGCCCAATAACTTATTTCTCAGTGTCATATTGGTTAAAATTTGAAACGTCCTTTCAGCGATCTCCCGTCCCCAACAAATAGAAGTTTTTAGAAATCCCAGGAAACGAAAATATTATGCAAGAAGACAAACAAAAAGCTTCTGTCTCAATTACTTCAATATGGTTCATATTTTACTGTCAGGTTACTGATTAATTGACAGTTTCCCCCTTCTTGCTCATTTTACGCCGTTTTATGAAAGATAATGCATCACATGAAGCAAAAAGAGCACTGGCCATCTATCCTATACCAAACCACAAACTCCTGGAACTCAGTAAAGATAAAAATCAATTTTCCCAAACTTCAGTTAGCAAACTAATACACTAGATTCGCAAAACTGTAAGATTTATCTCAGGTCACTCAGTCAATATGCTGCACTGCGCAAAACAAAAAATATCCCAAATTTTGCTCAACGAGACTTCTCTAACGATTTGTTACTCGTCATTTCTTTGTAAAACTGCACAATTTTAGACTTATATGTATAATATCACCTAGCAGCAAAGCAGTAGGCATATAGCGTGAAGCAGCTTTTGAAAGGATACCTGGTACTTAAAAAAGAAATGCTTTATAACTAACCTACACAAAACATTGCTATTTCCTCTTAAAAAATGAATAACATGTTCTAAAATTTTGAGCTTGATTAGTGTCCTTTACGAGAATATGTTAAGTCCACTAATGTTTGGTTTCCTCCAGAAGATGCTCGCGCTAATCCTGTTTTCAAATGATCCTCAGGTTGTCCAGTCTTCTATCACGGGGAAAAATAATACTTTTAAAAATAAATCACGCTCCGCTGAGGTAAAGGATCACACTTATTTCATGAAAAAAACTTTCGAAAAAGTTTAATTCTTATCAAGTAAATTGAAAAGGCATGCTCTGTGCTCCCCATACTACTTATTTTGCCCATTTTCATTAGGAAAGAGCTGTAAAACACTCAAATACATCAGCAAATTATAAGCACTCCAGTAATTTTTTTAAACACTTTCTGTATGATATGATCCTCTATTACTTATAAAAAGCTGTTGTGAGATGGGAGTTCACATCAGTAAAATGAAATTTATGTTTATATCTAAGCTTACAGAAAATGTGACAGATTTTAACTTCAGTAAGACAGACCGAGGTCCTGAAACTTACATGGAGATTGCACTTGCAAAGGTAACGGAAAACTCCAATTTGAATTTTCTCGACCGCCTTTTCAAACCGAAGGATCTGATTTGCTTTATCCAGACAGTCCATCCATTTTTCACCCTCCACAAACGCTTTCAACGATTCGTGCATTTTATTCAACTTCTTCACTTTTTTATAATGAGCAAAGCAATTACTATGGTCCGGGTTCAGTTTCAAACACTCTCTAATCTGACTGCAAAAAAAATTAGACCAAAAGTCAGGAACAAAAATACACTTTAATAAAAATGGCTAAACTAGTAAAAAATTGGTAAGTTTCTGAAATTCACACTATGTGGGAATTAAATAAGGCAAGGAATAAGCCTGGTTATCTTTCCAGTAGAGAAAAGGTGAAGCTCGAAAACAAATAGAAAAAAATTAAAGCGTGAAAAGAACTACTAGCTAAGCAAGAAAAATAAAATTATTTATGAATTCATTTGAAAAAGTTACTTCAGTGACTCCTCAATATCTCCTGTCGAATAATATAAAGTAGATATTTTATAAAAAACCTCGGTACTGTCAGGAACTAAACGAGAAACGGCACGTAAATCCATGATAACTTTGTGAACTTCGCCCTTCTTTCGAAAGCATTCAGCCCTTCTTTCATGTAAGTTTGGATCCCAATGACAAGTCTAAAAAAGTGATAAAAAAACTACCAATGACAAGTCTAAAAAAGTGATAAAAAAAACTACTTCAGAAGCATACTGCCCGTCCCTCCAAGCTAACCAGAAAACCCTTAAAATAGTTCCAAACACAACAGTGACCACGAGGACTTGACTTTTGTCACACAAAGTAACATACTTCCAACGCTTTTGTATAATAGCGCTCCGCATTGCCATAATCCCCTTTCCCAAACAATTTTTCAGCCTCCTCAACAAAACTTCGAACGTCCGAAACCGTTTTCAATTTTTCCCTTACTTCAACAGTTCCGGAACCACCGTTCGCCTAAAATGCAATTCTAGATTTCTGCACAGTTCATAAAACGAAAACATTATAGACGAACGAAAAAACCAACAGCTGCTTTGAAGTCAGCTTCCGCTTCATCAAGATGGCCCTGCTTTAACAAAACATTTCCCCTCTGAACTCGAGCCTAAAATGAAGTACAACAATGAAATCAAAAAATCTCATAGTCCAAAAGAAAGAATTTGGCAAAGTTTCCTGCGACACAAAACTAATTCACGGCCCCTTTGTCCTCGAAACTACAGACACAGCAAGAGAAGCAAATCTCCGGTAATCTTATAACTTATCTAATTGAAGACACAAATAAATGAATTTATACATGAGTAATTTCATGTCAAGTGGTACATTTTTTTCAGCTGGCCTCTCAGACTTTTTTCACTGTTTGCTAACTTGTAGGGATTGACGCCCAATCGTGAAATTTAAAAAATTGAACTTAATGACAGCAAAACTCAGCCGTTCTGAATTTGCAAATAAAAACAGTTTTTGCTCAACACAGCCATCTTTAAAAAACTTGTAGTTCATCCATTTGCAAAAAAACCTCTCAAAATTTCACTTTATTTGAAAATCTGTCTTCCACAAAATCTGGAAAGCGATGGCACACACACATGTAAGAAATTACTCAATGAAACAGATTAAAAACAAGGATCCGGAACGTCTTTTCTCAACAACCTTGATCTAAACTTTTCTAAAACAGATATATTTTTTTAAATCATAATTTTTGTACAACAATTTGAAACTACATGGTGGTGACTTTATACTGTGACCAGTTATGATGCGATCAGCGAGACTAAAGAGCAAAAGCCTCGAGTCCACTTCGCATTTCTGCGTCCCTGCAAGTGACAACCTCCCATTTCCAACTGAATTATTGTTAATATTGAAGCAAGTTTTAGTTCAGGCGCTCCGATAGCAAGCATTTCGTCAGAAATGCTTCGCTGCTGAGTGATATGGCCGAAATTTTCCCACTATAATTCAGAAGTTGGGAAATTTCCCTCGAAATACAGAGAAGACAACTGGGTCAGCTTTTGTCTCGTAGCATTAACGAGTGGTCCTCTGAACTCCAATCAACAAATCAGTGTACTTCTGGAAAGAAATTAGCGAAATGATATTCGCTACCACCAGCCGGCACTGAGCCTCAAATGGTTTTTAAAAAGAGTTCAGTGAGGAAAATAAAGAGGTAAAAATCCGAAAAATAATAAAAATAAATAGCTGTGATGATAATGATCATGTCAATAATGATAATGAAAATAAAAACGATAATAATAATAATAAATAATAATTAATAATAACAATAATGAATAATAATAATAATAATAATAATAATAATAATAATAAATTGTTTCAAAAAATTCCAACCAAACAACTGCGCAGCAAAATATTCATAATCAGGTACCAGTAACAGAACTATAAAGTGCTTCAGTACAGCAATCACCAAGTTAAAACTAAAATGTTGTCACCTGCAAAGGCGCCAGAATACCGCATAAATTGGAGGTTTCTTGCAGACTAGACTCACTAATCGCGAAGAAAATTGTGATATTATTAAATTACCACCTTGTAAAACTTTCTGTATGAAAGCTATAAATTTAAAAAAATACATTTTTTTTTTTGAAAACACGAGATCTAGGTTTTCGAGAAAAGACGTTTTGAATCTTTGTTGTTAAGGTATTCTCTTGAATAATTTCATACATTTGTGTGTACTATCACCTTCCAGATTTCGTGAAGGACAGACTTTCAAACGAAAGAATAAGCTACAAGTTTCTAAAGCTGACCACGTCTAGCAAACCCCATTTGCACTTCAAAAAAGTTCAATTGCAACGCTAAATCATTTTGTGAGGTAAGCTCTCTTGGCTTCGCAATCGGATAGCAAATCCCACAAGCTACTGTGGAATTAGAAGAATCTGAGAGGTCGATTGCAAAAAGCGTGCCACTTGGCATGGAACTGCTTTTTCAACAACTACTTCATAATGAACTGATAGTACTGAAGCATTCTTTAATGTAACAATACTTCAGATAAAAAAAACCCCATTACGTGCAGAGGCACGAAGATGCTGCGTCAACTAATAGTTTTTTGCGGTGAAACCTCACTAATCTCATCACAACTCGCAACATCATAAAAATACTACCTTGCAACTTTAAAATTTTATGAAAAAGCCAAGTCACCGAAAAAATATCAATTTGAAAAAATTTAAAATTACTCATCTTTCAAATAAATTCAGTTTTCATTATAACTTTTTATTTAACCTGTTGATGCATGCAATTGGGCAACTTTGAGTTTGCAAGGGGCAATCTTTCGAAAAAATAGAATTATTTAAAAATCTGTTGTTAATAGACAAAACCACAGATCTCTAAAAATGATCATTTTTTTTAAAAAAAATGCATTTTCCTCTGTACTTTAGAGCAAAGTATCTTTCCACCAGCGTAACTTTCTAGGTAATGAGTGTGAATTCTGCGGGCATTAAGAAGCGCTGCCTGCTGAGAAAGTACAAAAAAATTTTTTTTGGGGAATCGACTGAAAGGAGTGCGTCATTTGGCATCGGAGAACGATATATATATATGTATATATCCGAATGCAATGTGGCAATGAAAACTAAATTTTAAAAAAAAAAAAGAAAAAGAGAAAGTGGAACCATGATAAAATCAGGCTTTAGCTCGATAACACGATCCAGATCAGGAACTGCTGCTTTTGACTTTCCCATAGCCAAATAAACAGTCGCTCTTCTGTAATAGGACTGATAATTTGTTGGGTCGCCCTCTAAAAACTCCTCTATAAAAACTGTGAAAAAGGATGCAAAATAAAATCCAATAAAATGAAACTGTCTCACTGGTCACTAACAGAAAATTTATAAAGTCAAATTCAAAAGTACCAATTGCAGCATGATAATGTGAAAGTGCATCAGCAAACTGTCCTTTTGACAGAAATTGCTTTCCCATCTCCAAGTGTTTCTCAATGTCAGTTAAACTGCATAATACCACTAAAAAACAACCTTACATGAAAAAGCGTTTTGTGAACAAAAAAAATTTAACATCTTAGTAAGACACTGCCAAATTTAACGGAAGATAATGAATTTTCGCCACATCTGAACAAAAACCAAATATCGGTCGAATCACCAGAATAAGCGCGAACATATGCAGTAGACGGTACTTACAAGAAGAAAAACTAATCAATGCCAACCACTGCAGTTGCATCAACCAGTACGATTTCCAGGCGAATATGGTCTCGCCCAGACTACACACCGGCATGTTTCCTTTGGCCCTTAAAACGGCAAAAATAAATCAGTTACTCCAACAAACAACGACTTTCACACCAACTTTGACGAGCAAGTTGTTGAGTAAACAAAAAAGCAAAAAAACCACACATTGAACCGACCTTATTATAAATCAACGTTTAAACTGGCAGGTACAAAAACAATAACAACAACAACAAAATTTATTTCAAAACATTGTAGCATCTTTTCCCTTCGCTGTATTCACCTCAGGGATGGTGAAATAACCGTATCATTTCAATCCCCGCTGCCAGACATAAACATATAACCGCAAGCAAAATGTCCAATTCAACTGTTTATTTTTAAAAGCAATTTGCAAATATCAAGCATTTGGGAAATTGAACGAAAGGAAGATCAAAGTAGCGACGACAATGTGTATTTTGATTTTTACATACTAGAATGGCAAAATAATTTGCCCTTCAATATTTCAACTCTCCATAGGAGATATTAATGACAAGAGTAGCTGCAGAAATAATTTAACTAAATAGTAGAATTCTCAAAAGCAACGACTTAATATCATCGTCAAAGTTTAAACACACGTCAGTTAAAAACAAAATTCGTGTCAGGACCATAAATTAAGTGCCGTGTATCTTGCGTATTTGTAATCCCTGACGATGCGCTATAGCGGAAAGCGCTTATGTTGGTTGAATTTCAGAAATTTGCTATTTTGAGTGTTACTTTCTAAGAAAGAGTTGGTATTGAGGGACCCAATTTTCGCTAAAGTTATTTTTTGTGTATCTATTTATGTTTTTTTATGGCGAATGCAGTTTCTGCACTTGTTTTGTTTTTTTTGGCTATAAAGAAGATGCCATTTAAAGTTGTAAGGTAATTTATAAGCCATCCAGATTCTTTGTGTAATGCTTGGACCAGTTCTGGGGGTTTTTTCGTGTATTCGTACTGTACAATAGTAGGTGCGGAGGTGCCACTGAAAAAGCTTAAAGAATACTCTACTTCATGAGGTCGGTACCACTGGTTAAGGAGAGCTGCATTTATTGGCTGAAACTACGTTTTGAAAGTAGCAACGTTTGGCATTTTAAAGAATGGTCGTGATTTCTGACTGTTTTTTACTCTCCAGTTGTTTATTCTTCGGTATCAGGCGTTGCCTTAGGTTGCTTGAAAAATCCACTACGCGCTCCTACAAGAAGTTTTAGGGTACAACATTGGTTTTGTGTGAATATATTGAGTTGTTCGCCGGTAGTCAAATAAAAATTAATAATATGCTTTGAGGCAGTTTCATATCTGTTATATTTCATCGATTGAACCCCAACCAGTTACAACCATATTTTATAGACTTTCTTAACAAGAGAAAATTTATTTTCATTTTCTAACTGTTGCTTTTACAAGTCGTATACTATCCTTTGTTCTCTCCACCACTGAAGTCGAAGTATTCCGGGACAAGAAAGCCATAGAAGTTTCGGAGAAGATGATGTATTTTGTAGATTAAAAACTATTTCAAGTACAGTACTAACTGTAGTAATGAATATAGTTTGCGGAGTTCAGTCGTAATCTAAAAATTCGTGGAGTTTAGAGTGCCGTATTTTGGAGAAAAACTTCTAGTTTAGAGTGCCGTATTTTGGAGAAAAACTTCTAATGCTTGTGGCGCAATGCCACTTCGTTATGTGGAGGTGCGTGGAGGCTATTCGTAAACATTTGCTAAACTTCTGTGTTTCATGTTTAGGCAGTCTTACAAGTTGATCGGTCCAGAGTACTAAATGGCTGGCCGATTTTCCGCTGGAAAAGCTGGGGAAGGGACAGTGAAGCGGACAGATTTTAACAGAGGGGATTTGCATCGGCGCCACCGCAGCCCCTGCTTTTTTACAAATACATACCTTAAAACAGTTGTGATGCAGGGGGCTTTTGATGCAGTGGTGAAAACTCTACTTCTTGGGTTACCAGTTTTGGTTTCCACTGCGGCAACCGTTCAATGCATGCACATTCAAAATTTCGGTATGATTTTCGGGTCTAAGAACTCGACTGATTGTATGTTCCTTTCGCTTGATGAGCTCTTTTCAAAGTAGAGTTTCAAAGACAAGGATTATTTAAAAGCATGGTTTGCGGTACGTTTTTTTCCTGGGGCAGCCGTGACCTGGGTAACGAAGATGAGTTAGCACCGAGTTAAGAGTAACTTACGTGTTTTAAGCGCAAAACGGGACAGTTATCCAAGAAGCTTTGTTTCTCTAGCGATATATTTTTTAAAAACATGAGTCAGAAAAATGTCTTTTGCTAATTTTACAGCAAAGTTCTACCGGCGACCTCACTTTTCTTGATGAGTGTGTACATCGTATGCATAGGCTTTTGGTCCGTTACAAAGCGTTTTGGTTTTTGAAAACTTCTTCAGATGATTACCGAAGCTTTCCTTGCAAGCTAGAGGAATGAAGCAAAGAATTTACCTTCTAAAATAGTGAACTAAATGCATGAGCACTTAGTGTTCTAAGCGGACTGGAATTTCCAACGTGAGATCCCACGACTTACTATTATACTTCGCATTAGTCACTGCATTTTCCCTACTGGTGCCAATCGAATTCTAATACATGCAGATCATGACACTGCTTTCGGGACTTCCTAACTCACCTCAAACTTGGGTTTTTAAAAATCCTCTGTAGTCTTGATACGACGCCATTGTTTTCAGCCAACTTTTTCTACTGTACCATTTTTTTTCCTCAACTTCTCCGACTCTCTATTTCCACGATTGGTCAAACTCGTCTAAAATGTCCTTACTGCCATTCATAAATCTTCAGCTGTCCAAAATACGCCTTCGTCTTCCATCTCTCCATCTCTTCAGAGGCTCCTCTGAATATTTATATGGGGTCGTCAGTATGCAAGAGCTCCTATGTTAAAATGATTTACCACCGATCACATGGTATTTTATCAGCATTTTACTTTGTTTTCAAACTTCTCGATATTCAACCCATTTTCTGCTGAGATTTTAACAGGACCGTGACAGTATATTTGTTCTTCACACGTATCTTTCAAATTATTTTTTGAATCAACTGTTTTTTTGTAACAGCTATTAATTCTTTCGTTTAGTAATCTGCGTAGCCAGCAGTTAAAAAACTTGATTTTCTTTCTAATGGGAAAACATTGAAAAGTAACTGTATGAAAAAGAATGCTTCAAAAAAAGGAAAAATGAAGAAGAAGGATCATTGCTCATTTTTTTTGTATCTTCGGTAAAAAAATAGCTCCTTCTAATTTATGAAGCGGAAGATCATTCAATAAGTGATCATTGCCAGACTTGCCTTATATATAGTGGAAAGCTTATTTCTAGCCCGATGAAATTTTTTACGTTCGGCAGAAGGAATACTGTGGTGTCCTTTGATGACAGCTGATGAAAATGTTAGTTTAAGTCTAATTTGGAGCCTTTTCATCCGACTTATTTTAGGAATCTTGGGGCTACTTTGGAATGCTACACTGGCTACGCGATGGCTGGTGAATTTTATTCAGTCTTTGCCGGCTGCGGTCAGTTATATACCGGGATGTGATTTAGGGGTTAATTTCTTCATTTTTTTCTGACCGTTCTACAGACCACTGGCAAGTACAAAAAATTGCGGAGTGCATGCACCACTGTGCCTATGTCTTCCTGCCTGTAGTTTTGATAATGATCCCTGTTGGCCGCTGATTCTCCTCCTGTCCTTCTACGCTTCTAGATTTTTCTTTATTTTGTTGGCAGATAGAGTCCTTGTACCATTTCCTTGATTCCCCTTCGGAACTATCATCTCGCTCAGTCTAGATATCAATTTGCCATTAATTATGACAGAAAATTATAGGCATTTTTTATTGTGTAAGTCTCATTAAAAAAACTTCAAGACCGAATTTAATAACGTCGGCCATTTACACTCTTGTTTTTGACAAAAACTTTGTACAAATTTGCGCTCACTACAGACTGCTTTCCGCTCAATATACTGTTATCTTAACACTGTTTTTGAACTTCAAAATTTCATTAAATTAGTTAAGTCTTGCAAATGGAAGACGTCGACGTTTGAAGGAAATTTGTTTTTTTTTTAATTTCTGAGTGTAGTCTTGATGAATAGAACTTCTGGAAAAGATAAAGTAGTAATGCAGTTGAGGATGTTATAAAATGCCACTGAAAATTTGCAAAAACAGCTTGGATTTTAGAGAACGAGGTTTGGAAAACTTCTCTAGCGTACAGTGTTAATTGTAAAGTCTAATGTGAACGTATATATTCCAAACTTCATCAATGTGCAGGCCTGCGTGCTTCCGTATCACGGTATTTGGGTGCAAAACCATTTATGTTATTTTTTTGTTTTGAGAACGATGTTTACTTTTTTCAGGTTAGAATTTTGTACAAACCTGTTTTTCGTATTTTGGGGGAGGGAATGGGATGAGGGGAGGAGGAACACTAGTTTCAGCTATTTGATGTGTATGAACAATTTCTAAAAAAATTGCTTTCGAAGTCTAGTACTTATGAATTATTGTGCAAACTTCTCCAGCGTACAGTGTTAATTGTAAAGTCTAATGTGAACGTATATATTCCAGAAATTATGCAGGAGTTTTTCGCATATATTTCTTTTTCACATTAGACTTCTACATTAAGAAGATTTATAGAGAGCTATTGAGCAGCAGCTAGGGCAGTATTTCGGTGAGCTAAAGGTTAGCTGGGTGCAAGGCCAACGCGGCAAGACCAAGTTTTCCTATAACATACAGTTAACGGAGGCGATTTTCAAATCAGCTATTTTCCTTAGGAGAGAAATTTGCTATTTTATTTTTTAATCTTAGGTTTCTTCCGAAAATTTTATGACCAAATGCAAATTGGTTCATTTATTTCTTACTTTTAATTTCAAGTCACAGTATAATAACAAGGGGCAAAATTTTTTATCAGATTATAAACCGGTATGAAAAAAAGAGAAAATTTGAAGAAATGAAAGAAACCAAACGAAGAAGACAACGCACTGTTGAGTCCGCTATAAAATTTATCCGGGAATACGTTTTACGCTTAGATAACTAAATGCAAGGAAGAGA